CTATAGGTTTTTACCTTTATAAAGTAAAAAAGAAACATTAAATGTTCATATACTAAAAGGGCACCAACATCTGCTGTTGTCTCATTGCAAACCTGTCATTGATTAATAATTTAGTAAGTTAAGTTACAAGCCCAAAGAATAGCCAAAAATGTTCCTAAAAAGCTAAGTAGGTTAGTTTCATAAAAAACTCTAACTAAACTTTTACAAACACTGACAATCCCAACACACAAACCTAATCTGGACAGTTGAACACAATCTTCTCCACCAGTTGCTGCTTTCATCTGGTCAGCTGAGCTGCTGGTTGGAAGATCTCCATCTTCCACTTGGTGCTGATGAAGCTGAGAGGACAGAGGTTTCTCTTCATCATCCTCACTCGTCAAAGGAACTGCAGCGAAGGAGAACCTGGTGTCATCAGTCTCCTCCTTCACCCTGAGCTGCTCCACATCCAGACTGGTCCTGAGTTCCTCCTCTTCCTCCTTTATGTTGAGGGTCTCTGGGTCCTTCTGGTCCACACCAGAACTCCATTCTTCAGGAGCTTCTTCTTTAATCAGCACCGTCTGATGAACATCTGCAGGGAACACTGAAACACATGAACAATAAGGACAGTTATAACTTTATATTCACACAAACATCACTGGTGTTTTCACTGAGTTCACTGATCAGCTCAAAACAACATCTAATGCTGGACGTCAGAAAAATGTCCTGAAACTAAATCCATAAAAGAGAGAGGTAGAAGATGGTAAAACATGTAGAGCTTTCAGATGTTTTATTTTAAGGAACAAATTAAACATGTTGCAGAGTCTTCTAAACTTGTTCCAGATTTTTTTTTTCATCAGCTGTGAGAAAATGCAAAAATATGATCATATTAGGAGAATATATTTCCACAAACATCCATTACTCTAAGAGCCTTTTTACTTGTCTCCATAATAAACCAGCTCCAGACTGAACAACCTTAGCTACAGACTTCTAACAAGAAGCAAGAAATATGATCAAATTACATCAGATTAGCTCCCCTGCACTGATTCAGAATTGATGTTGGCATTTTCTAATAACATTAAAAGCTTTTAATAATATTTTGTCAAGCAACAGTTGTGGTCAGAATTTTAAATACACTGATCATCAGCAAGAAAGCCATGATAAAATTAAGGTTTTCATTATAATTGCTCTTTCCTGGATAGAATGTTTGTAAAATGAAAAATTGTAATCTTTCTGAAAAGAAATATGATCAAAAGATTGAAATTATTCCGGTGTTCTGTAATTCACACAGGTTCTAAAGTATGCATACAAGCTTTAAATATTTACAGTTAAAACCAGAAGTTTACCTACAATGTATAAAATAACACCTTAACCATTTTATCTCACTGACATTAAATCAGACCAAACTTTTACTGTTTTAGGTCAGTTAGGATTTCTTTCCAAATTTAGTTTTATTTGCAAACACACTCAAAGACAAACACCTTCATTTTAGGAGACCTCTCCTGTGGTGTGATAAAAGTAAAATTGATCTATTTGGTCATCGTGACCATCATTACATATGGAAGATAAGTTGATAAGTTAGAAACTTACAGAAGGAAATCCAAACTGTTTGATCTAATCATAGTTTAGAGGCAATGTTACCAAATACAAAGAACATGGACGTTACTTGTGAGGAAAGTAATCATTTAATTATAGAACACAGTTTACTTCATTATTCTCATAGTTGGGCATTTAACAAATAATATATATAATTTAGAGAATCCTAACTGAACTATAACAGGAAAAGTTTAGTCACATTTAATGTCAGCAAAACAAAAATGGCAACCAGCCTTTTTAAAGTGTATATAAACATGTAGTTTTAACGTTACATCCCCACTAAAATTCAGTTGAATGGCCCTAAAGTAAATTGCACCTTGATAACGAGCTTTCTGGATCCATCAACAAGTTTCTGGCTGGATATTAAAAGATAAAAGTGACGAAAGTGCGACACTAGACACACACGATCCGCTAAAGATGCTAAATCACTTAGCTACAAAATCTGCAGCTAACATCACACTAAATAAGATGAATGTATTTATACTAACCTAATGTGTGCAGGTGAACTCTGGGGTTCAAAACAGCATCCAGAATTTTATTTTGTTGCATTTTTTTCTTCTAAACGAGACTGTTCCTCTTCATTATCCGGGCCTGTTTTGTCCAGAAACCTCGACATTTATTGTGATGCTACTTGGAGTCGTTGTTTAGCCTGCTATCTCCACATCTGTTAGCTTTTGTTGATATGAAATTTCCTTTAACAGTTACTGAGCCAAACTCAAGAAGCTGGATTTACTGTAAACGTTACAGAAACTTTATTAATCGCTGAAAAGTAGAGCCAATCCGTCTATTGCTAAAGTATGGAAAAAACTGTTACAAAGACAAAGGAGCGCTGAATCTGAGCTTGATTCGTTTGGTCTGAGTAACGTGATCAATGATGTCTGAAGCTACAGATAAATGGGCTTCAAAACTATAGCTATTATGGCCGCCATCTTGGAACGGTCGACCGCTCCACTCACTGTAACCTGTTTGACAGGAGCAATGAAGTATTTTCGCGTTTAATCAGTCATAGCTGAATACTAAACTCATTCTCACGATTTTTTTCTTCTGTAAATCTTAGGCGTACAGCCATTAAAGGTGAACACATGGTTCAGTGTTTTTAAATCATCTTGGTGGGGTTAACATTAACACTAATAAAATATTATTTTGCAAGTTTTGCAAAACTCAGTCACTGATACATTTATATAT